GGCTTGCGCCTCCAAAACCTCCCTTTTGAGTGCTATCCACCCCTCCTCAACTCGCTTACCTTCCAGTAACCTATCCCAGGAGACTTTCCCCAGTCTGGCCTTCAGTTGGCCAAAGTTGGCCCTCTTGAAGTCCCAGCTTCTAGTGCTCGACCTGCTGCACGTCCCCAGTCCCCTGATCTCAAAGCAAAGGATGGACTGATCACTCACATCCAGAGCTCCCCTAATCTGTACTTCATCTATCAGCTCCTCCCTATTGGTCAAGACCAAGTCAAGGATGTTTCCCCCCCTCGTTGCCTCTCAGACCCTCTGTGTGAAAAACGCACCCTCAATAGCTTCTAGGAAGCGACATGACCTGGCTGTCACCGCCGAGTGAGTCTCCCAAGTAACATCTGGGAGACTGAAATCTCCCATAATTACTGTGTCTCTCCCCTGAGATATCCTTAGAATCTGGCCTGTCAGGACATCATCCAGGGTCTCAAGTTGACCTGGAGGGTGATAACATACCCCCACTGTCAGGTCTCTTTCCCTGTCAAAACCCCTAAGTTTCACCCAGACTGCCTCTACCAAATCCCCATCTGTGCTGCATTCTATCTCACTGCATCCTATCCCTTCCCTGACGTATAAAGCCATGCCCCCACCTCTCTTTCCCTTCCTGTCCTTTCTAAAAAGGTGATACCCTTCTATGTTCACATTCCAGACTTGCCTTTCATCCCACCAAGTTTCTGTGATTCCCACCGGATCATACCCTCTTATTCCCAGGAGAGCTTCAAGCTCTTCCTGCTTATTACCCATGCTCCTAGCATTGGTGTACATGCACCTCAACTCCTTCCCACCGCTTCCTTTCCTTGGAGTTCCCAGCCTCCTCCTTCCTCCCATCCTCCCTGATACCTGGCCCCTCTCTGTAGGAGTCCTGTCATCCCTGCAGTATCTCTAAAACCCTGCTCCCAGAGCCCTGATCCTCCTCCCACACTTGTCCAGTGCAGACACGTTACTGGGGGGCCTGAACCCCCCCCCCCGGCTCAGTTAAAAGTCTTCCGGATGAAGCTCGCCACAGCATCTCCAAAGGATCTTTTCCCCATCCTCATGAGGTGTAACCCGTCCCTTGCCAGAAGTCCATTGGTAAGAAAATGAGTGCCATGGTCGAGGAACCCGAAGCATTCCTTCTGGCACCACACCCTAAGCCAGTTGTTCACCTCGGAGGCCCTCCTGTCCCTTCCTGGCCCAAATCCCCGGGCAGGTAAGATTGACGAGAAGGCCACTTGGGCCTTCAGCTCCCTGAGTTTCTTCCCCAAGGCCTCAAAGTCCCTGGTGGTCCCAACCACACCCTGCCTGGCCACATCGTTTGTGCCCACATGGATCACCAGGAGTGGCTGGTGACCCCCAGAGCCCGGACCCCCGGAGCCAACAAGACGCTCCACTCTGTGCATCACATGCCGGATGCGTGTGCCCGGCAGGCAGCAAACCTCCCTTGTCTCCAGGTTGGGGCGGCACACTGCCGCCTCAGTGCCCCTCAGCAGGGAGTCCCCAGCAACAATCACCCGCTGCCGTGCCTTCCTGGTGCTGGTGGGCGGCCATGCCCTGGCCCACGCCTCTCCTGCAGCAGCCCTCTTGCCGCCTGACGTCCCAGGCTGGGGGTCCTGCTGGTCCCCCGAGGCCTCATCAGCCCCAGGCTCCCCAAGTGGCGAGAACCTGTTTCCCAGCTCCAGATTGGTACCAGGAGAAGGAGGAGGCCGTGCTGGCCTCCTCCTCCTGTGGGTGACATGCCTCCATGTCTCCGCAGCTGCTCCTCCCGTGGCCTCTCCCTCAACCCTCTGTCCAGAGGGGGGCTGCTCCGGGGGGGGCCTGGAGAGCCCTCTAGGCCCTCAGGCACCTCACCTCCTCTTCTAGCAGGGTCACCATCTTGCACCGAGGGCAAGTGTATCCCTGCCTCTCCTGGGGGAGAAGGGCGAACATGTCACGGCTCTTGCAGCGGACAGCAACACCCGTGACTCCCGCCAAGGCCATCTTCTGGCCTGCCATCGGTATCCCTTCCGAGGCCTTACCTTGGTCCCCTGCCTTGTCTGTCCTGCAGTTCCTCTCACTTGCCCAGTTCTCCCAGACAAAAACCCACTTTCACACACACACACGCACACACACACACAAGGATAAAATAAGCTTAAATTTAAATTGGAAGAAAAACAAAGCACAGCACAGCACAGGCAAACAAACAAAAAATCAAGCCTCTGTGTCTCAGGGAAGGGAGTCTCCGGACAGCCCGGGCCGCAGCCCAAGGGACACAGACAAGGGGCGAAGCCCTTCCCCTCCGCTGCTCCTGGCCCCCTGCTCCCCTGCCCAGCTCCTCCCTTGCCTTCTCCAGTCCCCTGGCCACTCAGCACTCGCTCCCAGCCTGTGCCTCTGCTGCTCTGCCAAGAGGCCAGAGCCAAAACAGAAGAAGAAGGGGATGGCAGAGGATGAGGTGGCTAGATAGCGTCACTGAAGCAGTGGGTGTGAGCTTGGGTGGACCCTGGGGGATAGAGAAGGACAGGAAGGCCTGGAGGAATGTTGTCCATGGGGCCGCGATGGGTAGACACGACTTTGCGATTAACAGCAACAACAATTGTATTTCTTATCACTATGTATGGGTGTTGTCAGGAAATCCCAGTTTAGCAGCCTGCAAAAATGTGTGCTTGGATCCCAGGGAGACATCTGTGTTATGAACCTCAGCAATTTTATTGGGAAGAACATCCAAAAAACCCCTCTGCAGAGACAGCCTTAACAAAAGCACTGCTGGGTAGAGGTACACCCACCAGCTACATGTTTCCAGGGCACAGTTTTTTATAAGTTGTGAGTTCTCTACACAGTTTCAAGGCAGTGATGAGATTCTGAATGGGTGAGAAGGGGCCGGCAATGGGGAATAATACAGAAACATCAAGGTATCATAGGCATCCAGAAAAACATTATGACCCATCGAAGGCTTGGGTAACAGATAAACAATTAGGAGTTACAGAAATCTAACTGGTTTAAAATGTTGTTTTTGCAATCAGAGATACAGAATTCCTCATTGCGGAATTAGGACCAGTACAGTGCAATTTGTAAAGCTTGTCATTCGCTGTTGTGCCCTAAAGGAGGTGGATAGCCAACACTTTACTTCTGATTTCTTTTGGGCGGATTAGATCATCCTTCAAAGAAGGGTTTTTTCCTCCGGGGTCCCCCTCTTTGCCTTTCAGTGTATTCTTGTAGGTTTCATGGCACAACGCAAGGTGGGTCTATGGTACAGGTGGACTAGCAAATTTACACAGGGCTCCTGCAATGAATAATGGGACCATCCTGGAGAAAACGAGGCTTTCCCCATTCTAAAAGAAACTGTGAACATGGCAGGTTCATCCTCACAGGATTTCTCTTTGAAGGATTGTCTTTTTATGAAACAACTAGTATAGTTCTTCCTTATATTATTTTTACCTTTTCTTTATTTTCTCCTGGTGGGATAGCATGTTCCCTTGCTGGTCTTTCAGCATTCCTAATCTCAGTTTGAATTTTCCTTTGATTTCTTGGATCTTCTGGAAGAGGTCTCTTGTTTTCACTCTTTCATTATTCTCGTTTCTTTGCACTGGCCGAATAGTAGCTCTTTTGGTCTCTCACTGAAAAGTTGCATTCAGGAATGCCATGGGCGGCAGGTGGGGTGTGGTCTCTCAGCACTGCCCTCTGCCCTTTTTCGACTCTTCCCTCTCTCCCTGCAGTAGTGGGGCTGTGGTGCTCTTCTGTGGGTCTGAGTAGTTATTTCTGGCCTGGGGTGGTTTTTTTGGGCTGCTCTACCTTGAAGTTTCTATGGGAGGTTAACCCTGATAGAAGATTAACAGGTCACATTTCCCCAGAACTGGGGAAACCAGGTAAGAGCACAGAGAGACACCTGAGTGGCAGGGAGCACTTCTCAAGGGATTCAATGCCTCTGGGCCAATGTGTGCAATAGAGGCAGACCTCTCTTGCCCCCCATGCAGGTATGGTCAAGTGGGGGGGGACCACAACCACCCTCTCCAAGGCGCCCATCAGGCTAGCTGCTGAAGTAGGTTCAGTTCCCAGGCTGACATCCTGTAACAGATCATATATAGGAAACCCTGTGGCCTTCGTTGACTCCCATCTGTGCCTCGCCTCTTTCTTGCCTCCCCGGGCTGCAGAGGGCTCCCCCACCTTTCTTACTGCAAGAACTCCTATTTCTGCCCAGAGTCCTTCCCTTGTTGTAGTCAAATGAGCAAGCCCCATGAACAGAGAAACATTTGAGTGGGAGAAGGAAGCACCCATACCTACCCCTCCACGGGGTGGTTTCATGCCCCCCAATATAATCTGGTCCCGAGCCAAAATATGGGCTGGAGCCCCTCCAGCTGGCATTTCTGTTGACCACCGTTTCATTCCCTGTGGGATTTTTCCTCAGGGTGTGTCTTAAGTTTCCCCATAGATGCTGTGCTTTGACTTGCAGACACAGAAATCAGGGTGTGGCTGTGGAACTGGTATCACACCAGCAGAAAGGAAATGGCACCCGTTTCCCATGTTTTTGTCCTTTCCTTTCTAACAAGACATCTCTGGCCTCCTTCAGGTTTTGACCTTAAGCAATACCCAAGGGCTCCTGCTAGTTCCTGGTTGGTAGAGTTTGCTTGGTCCACAGAATACATATATGTGTAAGACGGTTTGATTCTGCATTTCTTCCACAGAACCCTTGAAGTCCTGTGCTTGTTTGGGGATGTAAGTGTACCTAGCTCATATCTGAAAACGTAAGAAGAGACTAGCTGGATCAAACAGTTCATCCTGGCTATTTTGGCAGCATTATTCACTTCGGGCATTGATATCTGTACAATTTGTGAGGAAATCTCAGCCAGATTCTTTGACTACAATCCAAGCTTTAAAACTCCCTAACTTTATCATGTGCCCATTAAACATCCTGTTGTAAAAATGCCCTTTAAAAGGCAAATTTCATCACCTCCTGGCTTCTTTGAGCCCCGACTCCTGAAAAACACTCCCAGGATTCCAGGTGAGAAGAGATAATTAATTTTTATTGAGGGCTAGGTGTGATGTGTCCATTTTCTTACACTCCTCTGCAACTATGAGGACTAGAAATCCATCTCTTTAAAAAATACAGGTTTTGAATATTGATGAGTTAATGTACAACTTGGACACTGGGTGTAAACCTGGAATGCAGATAATAGCACAACAGCACAATGCGTCTTGTGTATTTTGCCCCAGAGGGCAAATGAATTTGAACTTAAACACTGATTGCTTGGAAGGTAACATTATAGGGTTATTAGAAGAAAAACGGCATACGGGGGAATTCTGTGTGTCCCAGAATTGTATTATTTGTCATCTTCATTGCCTCATATTCAAGATTTATAAACATGAACATGGTTTCAGTTCCTTTATTCTTACAGGAGCCCCACCAAGTAGCAGAGTTTCCCCATTTTATACTTTTGTCCCCTTGAGAAGTTTTGGTGTTCTTCATTTAGAAGGTTGCCATTTTAGGTCTGCTGTGACAGTCTACTGGATCTGATATTCCAGCACCCCTTGATGATATGTGGAATGATTAGGATTAAGCAAGAACTTTGCCTGGTTCATTTTTTTTCAAATATAAGAACTTAACCAAATGTGCAAATTCATTTATAAACAAGATGGCAAGCACCTGAGATTTTTTAAAAACACAGAGTGTGAGAGAAAGCCGGACAGACATCCACGCCATGTGGTCGGGTGCAAAAGAACTGAAACTTGGTCCACAACCTTCTATTTTTCTGGAGTCCTGGAAACTGTAGTTTTGTTATGTGATGGCAGGGATTTCCCTGAGAACATTTTCAACATTGCACTGGTAAAATTCCATTTAAATCCTTTGGGATAAACCTGGCACATATGGCATCAGTGAATCAGGATTTTGCCAGGCTGTCATGACTGAAGTGTGGCATCTGGGCCCCCAGATGTTTTTGGAAACTGGCAGTATCTGGGCATACAGGGAAGGTTCTTCTGGAGATGCCACTGACGGATGGCACGGGGAGTTACAAGCACCTGCAAGAGAATCAGAGCAAGAGTCGGCACATGTATGAAGTCGTGTTGCAAGCAAGAGAAAGGGGCAATAGCCCAGAATCTTGTAGGACACCCTCTGGGTCTGGGTGGATCACTTGTGACCTTTCAGATGTTTTGTTCTATAAGTCTGTGCTGGCTGCAATTGCAGGGGGTTCTTTGGCAAAACTTCTGGAGGCCACAGCTTGCCCAACCATGTTCTAGATCCTAGAAGGTTCCATGTGACCTGTGCACATATTATCTCAAGTGTACAAGTCAGAGGCAACACAGTCATGCAGGACGATGGGGGAAGAAAGGGTCAGGGAGGAAGAAACAATAGCAAAGCTAAGGGCATGACTTTGTGTTGCCTCTGGTATTTTTTTGAGAATGGGTGAATGAGAGAAACAGCTAAGTAAATCGGGATTAATTTAACTCCCATGGATTTCAGCAGATCTGCTCTGAGTAAGTTTGGATCCAACTCTACATCTGTATTTTTTGGAATAGTTTATTCACAGCAGTCTGTGTTTTGCTTTAGTCTTGCAGCTGCTGTAACTCACTGAGGTGGCCTATAAAACGACACTGCACTCCTGAAACAAGCACAGCTGCCTCAGCCCAGCAAACAAAAGGCACACATTTCAAGCAGTGGATTGGTAAAGAGAGCAGAGCAGTCTTGGAAATTCATGGTCAATCTAGTAATCGAATAAAGTTTTGAAATTAACTGGAGAGGTGTCCAGGTTGGGAGAAATGTGTATGACTTCTCTGAGAAGAAATACAAGGTTGAACATTTGTCTCAAGGGTGTGGTGGTGAGCGTGCTGGACTGGATGATCCAAGTCGTAGTCCCAACTTGGCCATGAAGCTCACTGGGTGACTTTGGGCCAGTTCATTTGTAGCCTAACCTACCTCACAGGGTTGTTGTGAGCATAGATGGCATAGAGGCCTGTGTAAGCTGCCCTGGGTTCCTTGCAAAAAGAAAAGAGGTAGGATATCATAGAACAGTAGAGTTGGAAGGGGACTGTAAGGCCTATAAATGCAACGTAGCAACAAAAATGTAATAAGAAACAATGTTGGCTAGTAAGGAATTTTGGGTCGTCTCCAAGACTGCCCATCCTCAAAGAAACCCATCCACAAACAGTCAGTCCCCCATTCTGCAAGTGGCACCCATCACTTCTGCAACAGGGATTTGGCACTTCTGAGGGCAAGCCGCCCAGTGGGTGGGAAACATGAGTTTCTGGAACAGAGCCTGTTGTTAGCGCTCCCTTAGGCAAGCCCCATTCCAGAAACAAGCATTTGTGCTGATTCCAGGGGGCCCTCAGGGGTGCTAAAACTCTGGTGCACAAGCGGGAGGAATTGCTCGCAGACAGAACTGGTGGGGAAGTCACTCGTGGGTGGTCTTTGTTCAGTTCTGCCCATTTGTTTTGTTCGGTTTTTAGATCTAGGAAGGTCAGCTATTTCTGGAATATTTGGCTGAAGCACTCAGACAATATAATGCAAGTTGGGGCCCTGACATGTTAGAAACTTCTCACTCATGCAAACACCGGGCATGAAAGAGACTTGGACACATCTGCAATGTCTCTAAGGGCAAAAGGAGGAACTTTAAGGAAGATGCAGAGATGAGACAAGATTGAACAGCTAGGAGGGAGCCAATTTATGCAGAAGAAGGAAAAGGGAAACAGAGGAGGTGACATCTTTATGGCCAGTTGGAAGGAATAAGAAATGCAAATCCCACAGAAATGTTGGTGCACTTTTTAAATAATTCACAATATGCAAAACAATTAGTATTCTGATTTCTCCTGTCATCGATCCTGCTCAATATTATACAGCTGAAATTTAGAAAGCAGTTTCCTTTCTTGTTTTTGCATTGCAGTTTTTCAGGTAAAGTAAACGAAATGGAAGAAGAAGCAGAAGAACACATTTAATAAATAGGGTTTCTGACAAGAAAGGAAATTAAACAGAACAGAAAAAAAGTTTTGGGGAAGACACCTGTTGATTCACAGGATATAATACATGGATTGGTTTTAAAACCCTTTCCAATTAGATTAAAGCAGTGCGGGGGCGGGCGCTGTTCCCTTCCCTGTCAGTTCTTCCAAGGCATCCCTCCGCAACTAGAGGCCCCAGCCCAGGGTGCGGCGCGCTCCTCCCCATCCCTCCCCTGGCGTCTTGATGGAGCGCTGCCAGGACCGCCAAGCCGGAGAGCTCCTCCCGCCTTGCGCACGGCCTGGGGCGCTGGCTCTCCTCGCGGGCAGGCCGGGCGCCTCTTACCTTGCCCCTTACGCGTCCCTGCGGATGACTCTGCGCAGCCTCTCCGCCTGGGGCTGGCAGTTGATGGCTCCCAGCGCCGCGGCCGCCACCTCCACGGCGTAGCCCTCCGTGTAGTGGCTCACCAGGAGGTCGCTCAGGTCCAAGTCGTCCGCCTTCTGCAGCCTCCCTCGGGGGAGGTTGTCGTAGCCCTCCCTGACCGGGAGCTCGCTGAGCTTGGCCTTGAACCTCTTCAGCTCGTCGTTCGCCAGGTCCTCCAAGGCGGCCACGAGGCAGTCGCGGACCGACAAGTTCGCCATCTCCCTCCACTTCAGCTAAGAACCGCTTCCAGGAAAGGGCGCCAAGGCAGCCGCGCAGCCGCGCCTGAACTTCGCAGCGCGCTGCTGGGGAAGGCGGAGCTCGTGGCGCGGAGCTGTCCTCAACCCGCTCGCGTCTTTTCTTCTGCCCCTGCCACGGCTTCCTTTCTTCCCATAAAAGGCAGTGGAACTTAGGGTCCTTCCACAGCCTCGTGCCCTCCAGGACTACGGCTGGCTAGGCGCGCTGCTGCCGGCATCCTCCGGCAGCCTGTCCTTGCAACGCGGCTGCGCAGAGAAAGACTGGCTGCAGACAGCAGGGTCACCCAAACCCTTGACTGCATTGCTGGGGAAATGTGGGCTATTCCTGAAGCCAGCCATGTGAGCAAAACCATGTGGTTTGCTAACCACAAACAACCCACCATTCACAACTATAGGCCTTCGTGGGTTATTCATGGTTATTTGCATCAACAATACAAGATTCAGCAACAATCCAAACTTAGCCCAGGCTCAACCCTTGAGTTTGGGTTGTTGTGTTTTCTGAACCCAGCCAGGGAAAGAGGCCTGGTGCAGCAGGAGGGTGGTGAATGAGCCACAGGGCTTGCTGATCACGTCTACATGTGCCAGCCACATGCCAATTCAAGCCCCCAATTATCTCCAAGAGGTGCTGGTCTTTGCAATGTCTGAACTCAAGAAGGGTGGCTTACCAGGTGATTAGCAAACCATCCAGAACCCACAACCAGCTGTAGGGTTGTTGGCTGGTTTGATAACTGCCTGACCAAACTGCTAGGTTCAGACAGTACAAGACTTGGTAGGGCATGAACTGGCAACCTGGTCCCGGGGGCTGTGCTGGTCATGTGAATCAGGTCAGAGAGACTGATAAAGAGCTTTCTGAATCAGAGATGCAGGTGAGATGAGGTTCTGGAAAAAGGAGACCACAAATACCAATACAGTGAAGGTGCGAGAACAGGAGGGACGCGGTGTCTCTTTGTGGCTGGCAACACCCAGAGCGTGCATGGGGTTGCCAGAAAGAGCATCAATTGGGACACAGGACCTGCTCCAGAGACCTTGCTGTCCAAACGTCCTTCCCCTCCCATTGCATGGGTTGGATCCGTCGCTAGAGTAGTCCCACTGAAAGCAATGGGAGCGAGGTGAGCCCCATTCCTTTCAGTGGGTCTGCTCTGACTAAACCCAGATCTAACACCACACACAAAAATCCACCAGACTGGCAGACGGCTCTTCCTTCGGCATCCTCCTGCCTGCCACTGCACCTTCTGGAAACAGCACAGGGCAGGGCATGGGACCTGCCCTCTGTCACAGCCCTCGCTCTGCCTCTCCCCCCAGTCCCAGCATCTGCTGCCTAGTGCCTTTTGGTAGGAAACACGGCACAGGCTGGAAGGAGTGAACAGACCTTCCCTCTGTCCACATGGCAGCCCCAGTCTGGATGGAACTTCTGCAAAAAGACCTTGTGCCATTGTAAGCAGACAACTGAAAGGGTGTGCTTGATGCAGCACAGCCTATGAGCCTCAGTTCCATTGGGTGGATAAGCAGTTAAAGTTGCAAACGGGATCCTGGATCCCTTCTGTGGCAGCAGCAAATGCTGCTTTGCCTCAAGATTCCTCCAGCCCGTGTGCTTTGCGGGCGCAAAGAGGGCAGAAGGGAAAGCGCCACGGCAGAGGGAGAAGGGCGCGGGGTTGGAGTCCAGCCCCACGTGGAGCAGTTCTGCCCTGCTTTCTTTCTGGCCTCATCTCCCTTCCAGAGCATTGCTTCAGAAACTATTGGGATTGAAACGTTGTAGACTCAGAAGCCAGGCCATCTGAAAAGCTGCTACAGTTCTGTCATAATTGCTTCCTCTGGGAGAAATTTTTTGATCTGTCTTTTCATCCAGGAGGATGTCTAACCCCTCTGCCCATCAGGGCAGCTGCTTCTGGCGCCCCTCCGTTAAATGCAGTTCAGATGAGGAAGAAGGCATCTTCCCTTGTAGATAAACCTGCCAGGGTAAAAAAAAGTTGAAATATCATCAGTTGTAGATAAACCTGCAAGACAGGAACCCCAGGGCAGGGGAAAGGATGGTTTATGTAGGAATCAGCTGCATGGCTCGCTTCCAGTGGCATTTCTGGCACACAAGTCTTTTGTGGGCTTAAGAACAGCTGATCAGCTTTAGTAGTGGCTGTGAGTTGTAGCTGGCAGGGCTTGCTTGGACCACATGCATCCTGTTTATCTCAGCTTTGCCACAGAGAAATATTGGTGGTGGCAAGAATTCAGCTTGGTAAGAATGGACGCAGCTTCCATTCTGTGCCTTATCATATTTAGCAGACTGGACGTACCTCATAGGATCATATGAACCTGCATCCACTCTCCCTCCCTTTTAACATCTTGGGTGGGTCTGACCTGCCCACTGAGTTTTGTAGCTCAGCATGGCAAACATGGCACCTGCAGGGGCATTCACGCTCATTTTGCACCACCACCTTAAGGGCACAGTAAAGATCATTATGGATTCTGAAGGGCTTCTGAAGCTAGGGCTCAGCATTAGGACATGGGAACAAAAGAACTTTCCTGAGCATATCCAGAATGCTTGCTTTCCCCATCACTCATAAAGAGCCAGTGCCCTGAAATCCATAGTGAATCGGTCTGTCTGTGGAAAGTCTGCGTTCAAAGGCTGCTTCTGTCTTGAACAACATGGGTAATATGTCAACATAGGTAATGTGAAACCCCGGGGCAAAGCTGACTCTTCTAGAGAGAGTCATGCAGAACAGCTTCGAGGAAATCACACTTCACTTTTAAAGAACGTTCAGTGGCGTATAAGGGTAGCTGTGTCATGGCCTTCCTTTTTCATTTTTTTTTTAATGCAAACTATTTTGTGAAGGCAAGAACTTAACTTTTCTCTTCTCTTGGGGCAATCAGCTCCATGCTAGAACTCCATGCAAGATAAGACATGCCATTTTAGAAGACTGACGGTTTATTTACTAGCAGTAAGGGCTTTAAGCTAAAAGATGCTGGCATTTTGCACATCCCTTGTGTCTTTGGCCCACCACCACTTAATTGTGGCCCTGGTGAACTTCTCTGGAATGGCATTTGGCCCTCAGGCTGACAGAGGTTCTGCTGCTCCGGTGCGGAGAGTTGGATTTCGGTGCCCTGGGAAGCTGCTGTGCCTTGAGGGCCTCACTGGCCTTCAAGGTCAGCAATGAGGAACTTGTTTTTGCTCTTCAGGGCCTTGTACAGCTGATCCTTGCAATAGCGGTTCCAGCTTGGCACCAGCTTGTAGAGCTCCCGCATTTTTTCCTGGTTGGTCCCCTTTGAGCAGATCCTGGCATACTGCTCCTCATCCATGACGGTTCCATAGAGCTGATCCAGAACGCCCTCCACTGTGCCAGTCCTTTGGATCAGCGCCTCTCGGTGCCGCTCAATGAAATGCTGCTCTGCTGGGACCGCCTCCTGCATCGCTGTCAAACAAAGAGATGAAATTGAGCGACCCGCCCGCACCAGAGACCTCACCAGGCAGTTGGAAGAATGGTGCAAGCATGCATCAATTCAACGGCCGCAGCACCATTTCTGTGCGGACAAGCCTGACTTTCATCCACATTCACTATGCAGAGGGTCCCCTCTGTTTTGCTTTTTCCTAAACAAAGCTGGACTAATCATTCCTGGAAATGTCTGCATAGTTTTTAGATTTTGAAAATTAATTAAATGATTCACTTTGTGGAGATTGCACAGTGCCTTGGGAAGCAGAAGAAAGCAGAAGTGACCTTGGGAAATCACTGGGGTCCATCAGCCAGCGCTTTGCACCGTGGCCTTTTGCAAAGTGGGACAGGAAGAAACACATTTCCTCCAACGCAGAATGTGTGCATTTATAAAACTCAGCAGACACCCAGGGCAAATTCACCACTCCTGTTATATAGGCTTGAGTGCAGCTGACCAGGCCTCTGGGACACCATCAGCCTGCAGGTTCCCAGATTCTTTCTGGGGGGCCAGTACAGTTAAAGTGGCATGAAACAGAGATACGTTTGCCACTGTGCACATGGCAAATATGACCCCTGGTGCAGGCTGCTTAGGCCGGCTCCCAGACATGGGAAGGGGCAGACCCTATCTGGGACCATGAGTGGGGAGGAACTCACCATCTCTTCCTAAAACAGACCTGGTGGAAAGTGCTGGTCCCGGAAGAGCTCTGTGGTCACCTGGAATGGAAAGGGAGGAGGAGTTTGGTGATGTGTGAAACAGGCAGATCTTTTCAGGGAAAGGAGGGCAGCAGAAGGGGCGATGTCCCAGCATCCCATCAGAAGCTCTTTGAAGATTGCATGTTGCTGCTGATGGATAGGTATGAATCCTGAATATGGGAGGCAGGGAAGCCTGTGGAAGGCAGTGACAGAAAAACAAAAGCAGAAATTCTCAGAGAGGAAGGCTTCTTGCACCCACCCTAATCTTGATGGGATAAATTAGGCAGGAAGAATTAGACAAATTTACACAGGTGGCTGTAGCACTAGAGGGCCTATATTTCATTAACTCCAGTGATGCAAGACTAGATAAGACATTCATATCTTTAAGCATCAGGTAAGCAGTTTTAAAAAGTTTTAGAAAATATAAAGAGAGTCAAGGAAAGAAAACGCAACACTTAATGGAGAGTGAAAAGACAATGTGATGCTAAACAAGAAGGGGAAAAAGTTTGCTTTTCTAATTTTATGATGTCTCTTCCCATTTCCTGTAAGGGCTTCTAAACAGTTCAAAGAACTGAAAGAGGAAGTTTAGCAAGCAGCTTTTGTTCCCGGGACAAGGGAGGCTGAGAATGCCTGGAGGAGACTGAGGGGTGCACACACGGGCACACGCGCGCCCCACGGTGCTATCTGTGCATTTTAAGTCGCTTCATCGACGGCCCAGCCGAAGCGGGAAGCGTTCAGCGGGATCCGCCCTGATCGAGAGGGACAGCGTAGGCTTCTCAGCTTGGAATTGGGCGACTGGAGCAGCAAAGCAAGATCGGTTGCTTTCAGTCCCTCGCGCGCCGGTGGAGCAAAGAGACTTCTGACGTTTAAGGGAGATGTGCTTTTTCCGGGGAGGCCGAACGCAGCCGCAGCTCTTCCCAACCAGCAGAAAAGACGATCGCCCCACCGCCGCGGAGCTGGGAGCGGGGCAAGTGTGCAGCCAGTCCGCTCTCCTCCTTACCGTTCCCGGTGCCTCTGCGCAGCCTCTCCGCCTGGGGCTTGCAGTTGACGGCTCCCAGCGCCGCGGCCGCCACCTCCACGGCGTAGCCCTCCGTGTAGTAGCTCACCAGGAGGTCGCTCAGGTCCAAGGCGTCCGCCTTCTGCAGCCTCCCTCGGGGGATGTTGTCGTAGCCCTCCCTGACCGGCAGCTCGTGGAGCTTGCCCTTGAACTTCTTCAGCTCGTCGTCCGCCAGGTCCTCCAAGGCGGCCACGAGGCAGTCGCGGACCGTCTTCTCCATCGCGCCTCTTCAGCGCCTGGGCGCCACCCAGGAAAAATGCGCCGAAGCGCAAGGCAGGAGCAAGCCCAGGGCGGGAGGTGGCACCGGGGCTTGCCGGAGGCGGGGCGGAGCGTGCCTGCCCCAAAGGGCCCTGGCGGAGGGGCAACGCCGGTGGCTTCGCCTAGAGCCGCAGCCTCGCAGCTCCGTTTCCGCTTTGCGCTAGGACTCCCGTGGGGCCTGGGAGGAGCGGGCGAGAGGGGAGCCACCGCCTCCTTGTTCGAGGGAACTGAAAGCGAAAGCGAGGTCCCGTGCACGCCCAGTGAGCGAGGGAAACGTGTGGTCGTGGAGATGCTTGAACGCGAACATGGCAGGACCGATCGGACGACTCTGGGCACCCCGAGCGCGCTCTGCAGTTTTCCCCCGGCGCGTGTCTCTCGGTTTAGTGCGCTGCGCCCCGTTATAAGAAAGTCAGCACAGGTCATTTTGAAAAGGCAGTCTCCGCCGCTTGACTACAGAGTACTAGTGACTGATGGAAAGCGGATCTGTCTGGGCAACCCCTAAGAAATATTGGTTCAGCCCCAAGGGGTGGGATTAAGGAAGAGCGCGCTCAGAGCGAGAGATTGGAATCGAAAAGAGCGGGAAAACCGAAGAGGCTGGGCGGGGTGTTGTCACTGCTAAGGCTCTTGCCGACTTGGTCTAGGTATAATTCCTATATGTTTGTATTAGCGGGGTGAATCCACTTAGTAAATTCATGCATGTGCAACTGAATTGGTATTTTATTCCAGGGTTTTGGAGATTCTGCACGTAGAGCTGATTCTTCTATGTTATACTCAAGCCAGTTAAGATCTCTTGGATTTTCTTGTTTGAATTTGAATTCAAAAGGACACTTGAACTTTGCAATTCTGTCAGCAACTTCTCTATTAGTGCTGTTGTCAAGGACCTGAGTGCACATGTTTTAGCATTTTGTTGTTACAATTGCGCATTTTATCTGTTTTATAGTTGTCAATAAGAGATTCGTTTTGTGACATTGTGTTTGCAATGTTCATTAATAGATCATTAGGTAAACAGATCGCCCCATAGAATCTTACTTCTGCAAAAGTGAATAATGCAGCTCTCAAACATCTGACATTTGCTGTATGAGCCTGTCCTGTTGCATAAGGCTGGCCGCCCCAATATATGGACTTTGAAAAGGGGGCATTAGAGCAGAAATAGGCAGTTTGGTGTCTTCCAGATGTTCCAGGCTACAGTTTCCTTAATCTCTGATAATTGGTTGACTGGGACTCATGGGAATTATGGTCTGAAGCATCCAAAGGATACCAAGTTGCTTACCACTGCCTTAGAAGAAGCTTTCAAATCAATAGTGGAGGGAATAGAATTAAGTACCCCTTCCGCTTCTCCACTTTAGATTTCCCTTTCCAGAAAGTTCTGTTCCTTTTCACTATAAAAAACACCATGCCTCTGTTAGAAGCATTTTCCTGTGATACACAGTCAACCACAAAGTCTAATTGATGGAAGGGTGTCTTACTTCAGTCAAAATGGCAGCACACTCACAATCTTGCATACGGAAGAAATGGATGAAGTAGGGGAGGCAAAGAGATAGCAAGGAAAAAACAGACTCTGATTGAAGTGACCCCTGGTGCTGATTTAGGAACTGTCTCTCTAAAGCGATAGTTTTGAAACGAAGTGAAGTGTTGTGTATGTGTGTGGGGCAGATTACAGCCGAGTGCTCCCCAGAAATCTCTTGCTCTGTCTTCTTTGCTGCCTTATCTCCCTTCAATATCTTCAGTGAGGAACTTGCTTTTCCTCTTCAGTGCCTCATAAAGCTGATCCTTACAAAAACGGTTCCAGCTTGGTAGAACCCGATAGAGCTCTCGCATTTTTTCCTGGCTGATTTCCTTTGGGGAGATCCTTTGGTATTGCTCTCCGTCGAGGATGTCAGAGTCATATAATTTATCCAGGATCTGATGAACACTGGTGGTCCGCTGGATCAGCTCTTCACGGCGAAGTTCAATGAAATGCTTTTCTGGAGAGATGGACAGACACCGCAACAGGAAATGAGAGAGAGGACTGAAATGCTAAAAAAAATGTAGGATGCTAGGATAAGCTATGGAGCACTGAAACACATCACGAGTAACCCTTAACATAAAGGCTGTCCTTAATGTTCTGGGGAAAGTTTTCAAATCTGTTAGAACATGTGATAAATAGCATGTGTGATATACTTGAGAAAAAGATTTGACCAGGTTCTGCACCAACAATAGCTAAATTATGTAATTTATATAAATTAAGCAAATGTGTCTAAATGTATTTATTTTGCATAATTAATTCTGCTCCCTATGTATCAAAGACTTTTAAAGAAATACCCTATTCACTCCCAAATAATCCTCAGTCTCCCCTTGGATCTTTGGCTTTCTCTTTTACTTCTTATGCCCTCTTTAAAAGAAGGGAAAGTTAAGCATATGTAACAGCCACATAGTCCATATTCCTCCCATGCTCTACCAGCTTCTTCCTTGCTTTTGAGATTTGCTTTACTGGACTGTAAGGTCCTCAGTGGCTGGGCTTGTCTTTTTGCTGATGACACTCGACAAGAGTTGTATGCATGTAATATGAAGAGTCGTGTGTGTCACAATGACAAAAACTCTATCCAGCCTTTGTTTCGGGAAAGCTCAACTCCCAGGTAGTTCACTGGGCACTGACCACATACAATATGTCCGTCCCATTCACATGTGAGGCTGCCAAACGAGTGACCTGCATTTTGCTTCCATTGAGAACATGCCTCCCTGTCCTATGAGAAGGGCAACAGCTCAATGGGAGAGCACAGACTTGCATGCAGGAGATTCCCAGTTCAGTCCCTGCAATAGCCAATAGATACAGTAGAGGGTGAAGTGAAAAATTCCCTGCTGGAGATCCTAGAGCAGTGATGGTGAATCTATGGCACATGTGCCACCAGGGGCACACAGAGGCCTCTCTGTTGCCAGGCGAGCCAAGACGCGCCAGCATCGCTCCAGCAGCCAAGTATTGGATAACAGCCCACATAGGAGCCATGTATGTGCTCGGAAAGGATTAGCAGCGCCAGGCGATGAAGTCACGAGCCACGACTCATTAGCTGCGAGTCGTCCGAGCTTCCGCATGGCCGGTCAGTGCACTGCCAAATATATTTATTTTTTGCTTGGCCTGTCTGTGAGTTGTTTTTTCTAAACTAAAACCTCAGTTTTCAGGTTTTACTGTAGTGTTAGCGCTTTGTGCTAAATAAGTCTGTTTTGGATTGCAATTTGGGCACTCAGTCTCTAAAAGGTTCACCATCACTAGGTTAGGGTTACAAAAACGTGGTGTCCTGGTATGATTTTGATGGGTGGAATGTGTTTGGAATGGGCAGAAATGTTGAGCTGTGCAGAAAAAGCTACTTAACAAAGGCTTTTTCAAAATCGTCCCATTCCATGGTATTTTACTCCTATGTTAGGGTTAGGGGTGTGCAGCAGGGTAGGGTTGGGGTTAGAAAAAAGAGGTGTCCGGGCACAATTTTGATGGGTGGAATGTGTTTGGAATGGGCAGAAATGTTGAGCTGTGCAGAAAAAGCTACTCAAGGAAGGCATTTTCAAAATTACCCCTTTCAAAGGTATTGTACCTCTATATTAGGGTTAGGGGTTTGCACCAGGGTAGGGTTAGGGTTAGAAAAACGAGGTGTCCTGGCATGATTTCAATGGTTGCAATGTGTTTAGAATAGGCAGAAATGTTGAGATGTACAGAAAAAGCTATTCAAAGAAGGCTTTTTCAAAATTGCCCTCTTTTCAATGGAACTTTAGCCCTGTATTAGGGTTAGGGGTGTCCACCAGGGTAGGGTTAGGGGTAGAAAAACGTGTCCTGTATGATTTTGTTGGTTGGAATGAGTTCAGAAGGGGGAGAAATGATGAGCAGTGTAGAAGAAACTACTCAAGGAAGGCTTTTTAAAAATCGTCCTCTTTTAAATCAAACTATAGGCCTATATTAGGGTTAGGGGTGTGCACCAGGGTAGGGTTAGGGTTAGAAAAACAAGATCTCCTGATATGATTTCGATGGTTGGAATGTGTTTAGAATGGGTAGAAATGTTGAGCTGTGCAGAAACAGCTACTCAAGGAAGGCTTTTTCCAAACCGTCCCTTTCAATGGAATTTTACCCCTATATTAGTTTTAGAGGAGTGCACCAGGGTAGGGTTAGGGCAGTGGTGGCAAACCTTTGGCATGAATGCCACAGCGGGCACACAGAACCCTCTCTGTCAGCACATGAGCCAAGTCGCCCCAGCATCGCCCCAGTAGCCAAGCATCAGATAATAGCGCACATAGGGGCCATATGAGTAGTAGCGCCAGGCGATGACATCATGTTCCGCAACTTGTCTGAGCTTTCGCATGGTTGGTCAGTGCACTGCCAAGGAGAGAGAGAGAGAGGGAGGGAGGGAGGGAGGGAGGGAGGGAGGGAGAGTTGCTTGGACTGGCTGTGAGTTGTTTTTTCTAAACCAAAACCTCAGTTTTTCACATTTTATTCTAGTGTTGGCACTTTGCAATAAATAAGTGGGTTTTGGGTTGCAGTTTTGGCACTCGGTCTCTAAATGGTTCACCGTCACTGTCCTAGAGAATTGCCATCTCTCAGAACAAACAGGCAAGTCTAGATGGATAAAGAGACTGTAACTGTTTTTCTGTAACCCAGTAACTTCTATATAAGGCAGTAGCCGCATCCATTCTTGTGGGAGCCTCTCATCCCACCTTCCTTCTTCATTTGTTTAAAAGTCGTTTATGTCAACTTACAGAGTGAATCATGCTGCCACGTAAGCACATAAAGCTTAGCTGCAGTTGGAAATCCATTTGACTGGAGGGGGGCAGATGGGAGAATACTACTCTAAAAGCAATTAAAGCCGAGATCCAAGAATCTGTGCCTTCGAGTGAATGGTCTGGACATGATGAAATTGCCCCACCCTGGTCATAGGGTTGTGCAATAGGTCACTTACCAAAACTATGCACCCTCATCCTCATCTCTGCGTCATTACTCTGGAGCACTGCGAAAAACGTTTGAGAAAAGCCTTACAAAAAACATTTGTTGGAACAACTACTGACCTCTGGGTGTATCTTGACGCTTGCTGAGCTGAATACAGCATAGCGAGAGCCGACACACAAGGGCTCCTTTGTTTGAGGGGGCTTCCGCCCAAGCAGCGAGTGGTAGCTCTCCTCCTCATCTTTAATGGCCTGTTTAAAAGTAAAGGGTTTTTTTCTGGTCCAGGCTGACATGGGATAAAGTCTACAAAGTGAAAAAAAAGATCCTTGGTCAATCCAATTGTGAAATCAGAAAACCCCATAAGGAAACATTATGGGGCAGAAAGCCTTGCTATTCCTCTTGCAAACTTTGGCAGCTCTGAGGAGCAACACTCATTTGGGTGTCACAAGCTGCCCATTCCCTCTTTTCCTTCTGTTGGGCCCTTTGAAGTGCAATTCTCTTAAGGAAACTTAACTCACCACAGAACAGTTATTTAAACCTTCTGTTAAAGCTGAGAGAGAAGCACCTGCCTATGTAAAGGATTGACCCCAAACTTCCCAGTAAAGCTTCTGATTCCACCTGCAGATTATAGCCAGACAGCCTATAATCGTGACCCTGTTTCTCCCACCACTGACTGACCGACTGGATCAAAGAGTGCCTGATACAACTACTCCCCTCCCCTCTTGGAAAACCTACCTTCCTTTCCAAGGCAAGGAGTTCCTCATGCTTTTCCTAAGAAACTTAACCAGGTAACCCTGCGGCAGATCACTCTGCCTCACCCCTTGTCCCTCTGCCTCATCCTCAGAATCTATCTGAGCAGCTTGTACTGCGAGATGGACACTCTCTCTACAGCAGGGTCCACAGGAGTTGACCAGTTTCTACACACACACACACACACACACACACACACACACTCTCTCTCTTACTTTTAAAAAGACTTTTAGCTTATTTACCCTAATTCCCACCAAAGTGGTCATATTCCCAAAGATCCTGCCCAAGACCATTTTCTCCCTGCTTATGCTTTACTTTATAGAATAGTAGAGTTGGAAGGGGCCATGAAGGCCATTGAGTCCAACTCCTTGCCGTTGCAGGACACCAATCCATACCATCCCACTCAGATGGCTGTCCAGTTTCTTTTTGAAAGCCTCTGGTGTGGGAGAGCCCACCACCTCTCCAGGCAGCTGGTTCCACTGCCATATTGTTCTGACAGGAAGCTTTTCCTGATGTCCAGCCTGAATCCGGGTTGGTGCAGCTTGAATTGATTATTCCATGCCGTACACTCTGGCATCAGCAAGAAGAGATCTTGACCTTCCTCCTTGTGAAAGCCTTTCAGGTACTTACAGAAGGGTATCATGTCCCCCCTCAGGCTTCTCTTCTCAAGGCAGAACATGCCCAGTTCCCCCAGTCTATCCTCACAGGACACTGTTTCCAAACCCTGGATCGTTTTTGTTGCCTTCCTTGGCGGGCAGTGACCACTTACATGTGAAGACATGTGCCCAACAAAAATTTTCACTTACCTGTATCAAAGAATTTTGAAGGTGTCTCCGGATGTGTAAAGCTCCCCATTAGACTGTAGTGAATAGTAACGTGTTCGGGGCAGAAGATAAAAGAGAAGGGAGAGGATCATCATTGCTGCTGTTGCAAGAACCTAGATGCCACCTAGAGACCCTAATCCTTCATCTCTAATCTACATGAAATTGAGTGCCCCAGCAACCCGAACGCAGCAGCCTCCCCACCACACACCATCTTCTAGACTTTGCTTAGGTGCATAACTCAGATGAGTGGCCAGTGTGTTTTTAAGTAACTCAGGGGGACCACGTTGCTCCCTTGATGCGTAAACACAGTTTTGTTCCATTAACAGGTGTGTTTTCTTGTCCCATTCTTCCTTTTTTCCTTCATCCTCTTTGCATCCATCATACCATGTGCTCGCTTTCCTCCCTGCATCACAACAAGTACCTCACTCATTTCATAGCGGCTTCTTTCTGCTTTTTCTGCATCTTGTTGTCTGTGCAGTGCCAGGGGACTCACTGCACCTTCATTATCTGTTGTCCTCATTTTCCTGTCCCCCCTAACCTACAGATCAATCTTGACTTCTGCTTCTTTTTCTCCCTGCATCCTCTGCCTGTTTTCTTTGAGCTACTGGGAGTGGCTGTCAGAGTTCAAACAGTGTGGTTACCTGCTAAAAGCAACTCAGAAGCTCTGCATTTTAGCCTCCCAGTATCGTCTGAAAACAGTAACTTTTGGAGAACCCCTAATTTCTCAAGCATCTCTGCCCCACAGATGTCTTTGCATACAAATCTTGCATCAAAACAGCAGCAGCAGAATGACCCCCCCCCCGTTGTATTATCAACTGTTCTGCTCATTAATGGCTGTCTTGTGCACCTTCACTTGTATATCTTGAATGGATATTTCTGGATCAAGGCTTCTTTGTGGGATGGGGGTTTCAAATTGTGAGGTGATCATATATAAGTCCTTGTTAAGCCCCAAAGAACATTCCCAAATTTTGGCCAGTTGCAAATCCTTCCTTTTTTGGATAAGGGGCTGAAGTGGGTGGTAGCAACACAACTCCAGATGGGGCTCAGATGCAAAACGTCTGAATAAAGGATACCAAGCCACCAGAAACAGGTGTCTATTACCCTTTGCTTATCTGAACCCCTGCCCTCCTTGGCTTGGTGGTGTGTTCTCATCCTCAGATGAACAAATATCATACCTTAGTTGCTGGGGCTGGCATAACGTGTAACAGAAGACACACCCACGATAGGACAGACTGTGTGTCTGCTTCCTGCCCTGATTTTAGATGCAGCCTGAAGGCCTAAAAGCTAGATTCCACATGCACGTATCTCCCAAACCACACCAGCTACATACCCAGTAAGAGGATTTCATAATCCTAGGTCTGAAATCATACATGCCCCTATAGTCTTCAGTGGAAGGGACAAAGAAACAGATAGATTGACTTTGTCATTGAAGGAGAAAGAAGATACTGATTTCTATCAAACTTGGGACTCTTTTTATTATTGGCTAGAGAAACGGGACTTTGCATAGATTTAAATCTGTTTTTAAAGTTATCATAAATGGAAAAAATGTGGGGGCTGACTCAGCAGATCTGATGTTTCTGATGATTGATGTTGTTTTTAGTTTTTCTTTGTTTTAGGGTTAAGTTTTGAATAAAATTTATTATATAAAAAAAGAGCAAGGCACACGGCCAGTGAATAGTGAGGTGGGCTCCTCAAAGGTGAATGGCCAGTCTTTCCCCTCCCCAGAGAAACTCAGAATCTGAGTCAGCAAAGGTGAAACTACCCAGCCAGCCCCAAAGAAAGCTGCTGCACAGGTTGGTGAATGCAGGTTTTGCCTCTCCAGGGAAGTGCCAGGATGCCATGATGCCAGGCTGCTGTCATGAGTTGTGGCTGGGGCCGTGGGCATATCCAGTGAGGGCCTGAATAACAGACGAACCAACAAGCTGCAAAACATGTTTCCCGCAGCGCCTTGCCCTTGCCTGCTCCAGCTCCTTCCCCCCGTCACTATGGCGATGAGTTGCACCGTCGGGGCAGTAGTGCTCCCCAGTCTCTGCTCGCGGTTTGCCCTGGCCTGCCAGTGGCAGCCGCACCAGCTCTTCCTCAAACACACGTGTTTCCATGTTCTTTGCTCTCTCGCTGTCTCTCCCCCCTCCCCCCTCTCCTTCCTCTGCCTCCTCTTTATGTTCCCTCCTCACGCACCACTCCACCCAGCCCAGCTGTTCCTGCCCCGGTCTGCAATCCCGTACACCTGTGTGCTCGCTCGTCTCCCCTGGCCACTGCTTCCTTGCAAATTGCTCTCCCCACATGGATTCCCAGCCTTGCCCTGTTGTCTTCGGCCCGGCCCTGTGGAAGGCCCCAGGAAAAGGGGTGAGCCCCTCTGTCTCCTCACAATCTTATAAGTCTACAGAGACAAACCAATCTCCCTTTTGAAGAAAGGGAAGGATTTTTTGTAAGAAACTTCTTTGGTACAATGGAGTTGAGGTCTCTCAAGGTCCAGGATTTTTTACAGCCCTCCATCCCACTTTGGTATCATGAAATATCTAAAAAAGAAACCGTGGTGGACTTAAGGGAGCCACTCTGTTGCTTCCTTCAGAAGTACTGATTTTGATCTACTTTAATCTCCAATTAAAACTGGGGATGGAGCACTACTCCTCACAGTACAGAGATCAGAGGGCATTGAAGTCGACCCTGTAACCCTTCTCCACCATGGATAGAACCAAGGCAGCTGTAGTTACTGTTTTGCATGTGGGTGGGGGGAGGAGGGAGAGAGAGAGATCCATCAGATGAAACGAGGAATGAAAAAAGGGGCCAACCCACTGAAGCAGCCACCACTGTTTTCTGTCAGCATCCAAGCGCTTCCTGCCCTAGTAATTATTTATTAGAGCCATCTCTGCCCCTCAAATGCAATGGCAGTTTTGTTAGGCCTGTGGATCCACTGGAGTCAAACCTGGAATGAGGCTTGGCCGGCTCCAAACCACGTACGTGGTCTTGATGGCTGGTAGAAGGGCGGCTTCTGGATGGAGTCCACCCTTTCACAGAGGAGCCTCTTCCCCACAAAGAGCTGCTCTTTCGTGAGGGCAAAGGGCTCCTGCAAGCGATTGGACAAGGCCAGCCAGGCATGCCTCCGTAGTGCCACCGTGCCAGAGCAGCTGCCTGAAGGTCTGAGAGAGAGGGAACTCTTCTTACATCTAGTGGACACCGGATGAGAGTTGGGGAGGCTTCCCCACCAAAACACTCTCAGTTATGAAATCTTCCTGACACGCAGGTGCAGAGCAGAGCCTGTAAAGCTTGTGTCAAAAATATGTTCGGAACAAGTCATAGGATTCTGGAATTTTTATATGTATATTGTTAAAATCATTTATTTCAATAAAAGTTATATTCTTTAAACATGAGTTGCTTTCAAATGTACCAATGTGTGCTTAAAAAGTTTGCTTGGTGAGACAGAAAGTGAAAATAAGCATTTTTTTTGCTTGATGAGAAAATAAGCTAAACATATTTTTGGACTCAAAAATGTACATAAGAACATTCTGAACATACAGCAGTGGGAGCTTATCCTTTGAAGATTAAACCCTCCCCTACCCCAGCAATGCAGATCCAGGTGTGTGCGCAAATGCGTGGCTCTGGCCAGCACCTGCGGCCCACCTCTGCTTTAGAACTTCGGCTCCTTTGGAGAGAAAGAATCAAGGGCTTATATAAGGTACTAGCTCCACTCGTGTATCCACTTATTAGGCATGGATGTTTGCAAGGGAAAGGCTGCGTGTGTAACCTTCCCTGCTCTCTTGGTTATGCGGGGGCCCAGAACACAAGGAACATCTATGTGCAAAGGCCGCAGAGCAGGGCAGGGCAGGGCAGAGGGTTGGAAGGTTGTTCACCCATGTGGCTGCAGGTGAGTTGCCTTTCCAGGTGACTCCACATACTCAGTCATCTAGGCAGTTTACCTGGCAAACATTTAGGCCTAATACATGCATATTGGGCTGATCAAAAATCTTACACATGGGGCCAGAGGTAAAACCCTCTGGATCCATTGTGCACATAATCCCCTGCCCCCTCTTTTACCCCCTCTCGCCCTTCCGAAACTTACCAACATTTAAAGGAACACAGTCTTATAAGACTTGAAATCATTGCACGACCTCTCAGACAATTGTACAGGTTTGAACTTGTCTGTGCTTCCCTGAGCAGCTTGTTTGGCAAGTTTGGCACACTCCAGGCTAAAGATGCTGACCCTTCTCCTTCTGTATAGACCCTCCCACTCCACAACAGAACCTGGAGTCTCCACGCATATACAAGCATTTGCATGAAATTTTACAGACATATGTTTTCAAAATAACCACAATTTCTTGTACCCTTACAAAAGTGGCGTTTCAGTCACATGTTGCTCTAAAATGGCTGTGTGAGCTTATCCAGAGGCTTGGAGGAGGGGGCCACTAGCATGCTGCTAACAGCCAGCTCTGTTTCTCCTCCTCATGTAATCTGAGAGTGAACACCCTTAACAGGTGCCCACAGTCGGCAAAGGCTGGATTTGGACCATCTAATGAAGCTCAGTCAAGGCAAAGTGATGATCCTATCAGTGGAATGCAGGTGGCCACGGAAACAGTATTCAGCCTCTTCTGGATATGCCCTTAGATGCCTGGGGTCCTAGCTCGAGGAAGCTTTTAGATCCATGTGCCATCTATAATGCAGAGCATCTATCAACGGCAGGTGGTACACCATCTGTAGTCTCTCCTGGAAAAACACAATTTTGTCACAGTTATCCATGTCTCATTTGTGCCCGGGTTAGATTACTACAGTGTATTATACATGCAGCTAAATATGAAAAGCTCTGAAATTTTAAATGGTTCAAAATATGTCAAACGGAGAAGGTTATTCATATTTTTCCAGTGGTGAAAAGCCTTTAGTATCTTATGAATGCCTCTGCTTCTTTGGTTAAACAAGTTTTACATTTTGTAAACTGCTGCATTGTATTATTAGGAGGTAGCCAACTCAGGCCAAGTCTTAACAGAATGAGGGGCCTTTCACACAAAAGAAAGATCAAGTGCTCAGCATGGAAGCACGGAATGGGAGAGGTTCAGTCAAAGGAGTGGCTATGAAGGCTTGGTCAACACATTCAGGAGAGTTTGGTGGCAGAAATGCAATTTGCTGGCATCGTGTGAATGCGGTCATTTCCTTTCATTTTCTGAGCCTGAATCCTCTCCAGACCGACCCGGAAACCTTAGTGGTCATGCATTCTTAGACAGTGATCTAGCAATATTTCCATGAGCAAAACCCGGGATTGTTAACGACTGGCCACATCATCACGATGCACGATCAGCTGTAAGTTCAGTTCCACTTATTTACTAAGCACAGGAAATTTGGATGGAGGCATGCTTTGCACTTTAATGAATATTGAGAGCTTTTACTTGTAGAAGTTTTAAAATAGAAACCTATAGTAACCATAGGGGTTGTCATTCTTTCTTTGATCTTTCCTATTAATGGTGTAATTCTTTGTTGCTAAACCCCACATTTACCTGGACTGGAGTCTGACTGCTCCTCCAACTGGCCAACAGTCTCTACTGAATTTCCATCTTGAGCTGTAAAATGAGAGCACCAGTTCCTTATGTCAACAGCTGCTTTGAAATTGTCTCACCTGTACTTGAAGTTCAGGAAGGACACGAAGACTCACCATTAAGTAAAGACCGCACAGAACAAACTGAACCTGGATAAACCATTTCCATACAGTCCAGGAATTGGACATAGGCTTCCTTTTCCTGTATCCGAATCAGCAACTGGCGACTTTTCTCCTTGGAATCTGCTTCCATTTTGTCCAGCATTTCATGTTCTTCCTTTGTGATAACGGATTGGGTTAATAATTCATCTAAAAATAGTTCTTGGTCCTTCTTAAGGATTTCTGTTATACGTTTCCTCCCCTTGCGGATCATTATCACTGAATCCAAGAATCTGCAAGAGAATAATTTAAGACCCCAGAGGAGGAGGAATTAATCGCTTGGTAGGATACTGGAAGCGTCTTTATTCTGCACCTAACTCTTGATCTGTCTAGCCTGGTATTGCCCTCTTTTGCCTGTCAATGGCTCTCAAAGGTCAGTTCATGAACGTGGAGGCCCATTTTGCACCCCGGTTCTGATTGTACCCTGAGCAAGAGACCACATTGCTTATCCAGGAAAGATACAGGTTGTTTCCTTGCAAAATGTAAAGACTGTGGATTTCTGGGGGACAGAGAGCTGGCAAAGATGGGGCTGCTGAGAGTGTTGGGGCTCAGATCCTACCTCTGTTTTATACTTGCTCTTTTGGGAAGACAAGCTATCATTTCCTATGGCTCCCATCTCTTTTGCCCAGCTGTGCCTTATGCTGAAACCATGGGATATGTTACCAGGTAATTCAGGAGCTAGTTAAATACATAAATTCTGTAAAATAAAATCCCTAGGCAATGATCAATCCACCATAAGGGACTGAAAATTGATAGGTTTATGCCTTTTGAATTTTGTCACTCACTTTGTGTAATCATTTTGCCATTTGAAATTGGCATGTATAATTTTTAAATTTATTTTATGCTAATTATCTGGTTTCTCCCTTATCCTTAATAAAGCTTATTCATTAGAAACTGCTAACTGGGGGTAGCCCACAGATTTGGTGCCTGTGCTCGAGGTTGTCTTTCACATTACACACTAAATCAGAGAGAGGCAAAGCGTTTCACATGATGAAGGATTCAGCTGGTTGATACCCCCCTTCTGGTTAAAATAAACCATCAGCTTTGGAATTCTTGTCATTCAAGAGCCCGGAAGACATGGAGAAATAGTGGCAGCTAAAAGTGCAGATATGTATTGCAGCCTGGCCCATCTGTAGGGCAGGTGATATGAATCTGTGTGTACCACACACTTGCCAAGAACTCTCCCACTTTTTCAGCTCACAAAAAAGAGCCATGGAGGGGAACAGCTTCTGTTCAGTACTAAAATGGCACTCCATGCATTTATTTATTTAAAACTTTTATATGCTGTCCTCTATGCGTGGCATCTCAGAATACATGTGTATTTTTTCCTCTGGTTGCTATTTAAAATGTAGGATCCAAATATTCTTTTGAGCATACTATTTAACCAGTACTGATTTTTTCCAAATTGCTACAGCTTCCCTTCTTAGGTATCTAAAGACCACCCAAGACCACCCAAAACAACATATTTTAGAAGAACCCAATAACTCAGTAACAAAAAGCATAGCACAGCATTTGGGTGTAAGGGAGGAGACCCAAAGAAGCTGTGCTCATTATTTAAGCCCAGAAGTTACCTTTTGTGGGCAGTTCTTGGTGATGTTTTGATCCACAGGTCCTCCTTCGCCTCTTCTGAATGAGAGCTTCCTCTTGTCAGCGACAGCCCAGGTGTCTTTCCTGTTCTCTGAAGCTTTGCAGCTGGAAATTGAGAAAATGAATACAGAAGAACAGTTCTACTGGTGCTCCAGCTGCACTGGGGAAGTTGGGGGCACAGTAAAGCATCTTCACCTCATGCTTCGATGCAGAGGGGGGCAAATGCTCCCCGCCATGGCTGCCAGCAAGACTTTTGTCTCCATTTCTGAAGGAAGTCCTAATATATTTTAGGAGGGGAATTAACTGGTATTTTGTCAATTTGACTTCAGTTTTGCTTTACCTGCCTCCTCCCCAGGTCAACAGATTCTGTTGTCTGTTCTAGTCTCTGCCACTGCACATGTCTTTCTAACCTTGTCTGATTTTAGGACGGTTTCCCAAAGCAAGTTCTGCCAGGGGGACTTTACATGAAAGCTGACAGGAGAAAGATGTTTCTGCTGTTTCTGGCTCCTTTAACCAAATATTTCCATCTGTGATGCTTGCAGCAATAACTGACATCTTTCTGTTTTGTATCCTGAATCCAAGTCAGTTAAATGGCTCCCTGCCTCTGGGAATGTGCCCAGGAAGTTCCTAGCCTGGTTATTCCATGAAGTCTACCCTTAGTTTAGCTGGGACCTCTGTCATGTTGCAATCTTGTAAAAGAAACTACACCAAGAGAAGAGACCCGCCTGGCTGCAACTGTTCTTGGCCTTAAACCCAAGTCAGCCCAGAGCTCCTGAAGATGGGGAGTAAGATTTTGAGACATCTCTGTTTTAGTCAGGTGCTGAAGTCATGGCTTCTCCTGAATTGCAAACCATGACCTGTTTTAGAATCTTGCATTATGAACCTAGATTTCTAAGTGCTTCGACCCCCAATGTTGTTGAGATTTCTGGGTCTTCCTTGTTTTCCTGTACATTTTATTTCTAAAGTTAAGAAGTAGGGGGAGTAAACAAAACAGAACCAAAAAGAAACAAAACTTTTGATGGAATTATAAGAATAATTGATATGTATAATGGAGGGATTAAATATTAGGATAATGAGATTATTATTTTAAGATCCATAGTCATTTTTGCCAAGATACCCTCACATAGTGAGGAAGATTTCTAATATACCTGACTCCAGTGAAGGCTCTCTTCCATCCAGTCCCACCCCTGCAATGAGATTATCTCTCTCAACCAGCAAATCTCCCGACTTCCCACTCTGAAGGCTGGCATTTCTCAGTTCTTACTGATTTCATTAGTAGCACAGAGGAGATCGTCTGCCTGTTGATTGCAGCTGATGGCTTTCAGCACCCCAATGGTCACCTGCACAGCGTAATCCTTTGTATAGTATTTGATCAGCAGGTTGCTGACCTCTACTGCATCAGCATTCTCCAAGTCGCAAGTGGGGATATTCTCGAACTCCTCCTTAACTGGAAACTCCTCCTTAACTGGAAACTCATTGAGTTTCCACTTGAATTGCTTGAAGTCTTTTTCTTTCAAATTCTGCAGTGTGCGCTTCAGGTGATCACTGATGGTCTTTTCTGGAGCTAGAGAAGGGAGGGAGAAGACATGGCTTGAGATCAGCCTGGGAGAGCCCTGCAGCCCATGAACTAGCTTCTTCAAGGTGAACCCTATACGATCATTCTCTGTCGTATTCTTTTCCAGCTTAAATGACACTGCAGAAGGAAAAAAAAGATTTTATTTCTGGATTTCTTGGATATTTCCATCAGTAAAGCCCTTCAATAACAGAACAACTGGGTGTAGGGACATCACATACCTGACTGTTGTATTAATGAACAGAATGGTTTCCTATAGGCACAAGTGTCAGACAAAGGTCTATTTTATCTCCCTATCTGGTCAATCTGTCTACAGAACATATCATATGGATATGAAAGCTGGAGTAGAATAAGGGAAGAAAGAGTGAAAATAGAAGATAGAGTCATCAATAATTTAAGATAATACCATATTATTGGCAGAAAGCAGCAATGAATTGAAACAATTCCTGATCAAATGAAAGAAGAAAGTGCAAAAGCCAGACTCTACCTGAACATTAAAAAACAAAAATCATATTCACAGAAGAATTACAGAACTTTAATTTCAACAATGTAGAAATTAAAATTGTGAAAGATTTAGCATATCTTGGTTCAATCATCAATTCAAATGAAAACTGCAGGCAAGAAATTACAAAGCAAACCGAAGACCGAGACTTGGAAAAGCAGCAATGAAAGAACTAGAACAGATAATCAAATGTAAGGATGTTTCACTGGAGACCAAGGCCAAATCATCCACACCATTGCATTTCCCATCATTGTGTAGGAATGTGAGAGCTCAACAGTGAGGAAAGCTGACAGGAAGAGGATGGATGGGTTCCAGACATGGTGCTGGAGGAGTTTGTGAATAGTCTGGATCGACAAGGCAAATAAGTGGGTTTTCAGAACCAGTCAAGCCAGAACTTTCCCTGGATGCAAAAATGACAAAACTAAAGTTGTTGTACTACAGGCACATCATGGCAAGTTTAGATTTGCTGGAGAAGGTCCAAAGAAGAGGACCACCAAATATGAGATGGATCAACTCCGGAAAGGTAGCCACAGCCATGAGCTCACCAGAGCTGATGAGCAGGACTCTCAGCCAGGACTTAAAGTGCATTCATTCAGAGGGCTGCCATAAGCTGGAGACAACTTGATGGCACATAAGAACCACAAAAATAGCTTGGTATGATATCCTAACCATGAAAGGCAACACTGTATATTGTGGATTTAATTGTGTGGAAACAGTTGATGGACTGCACAGATTGGCAGTCCTACTGAAAATGAGGCAGCAACTGTTCCCATAATTAAAAGATCCTTTGGGAAACCTCCAACGGGTCATTGTTAGTAGAATTTCTAATTCTGTTGAGCCTTTTTAAAGCACCCACAACTCCAGTGGTTAATTTTTGGTTAATTTTGACTGATATAGGCACAGGTATTGAAATTTTCTAAGTATTCAAATGGAATACTTGTATCCTCACTCTTTGTTCAAAAGTTGCAGTAATTCCTTTACAGTACCTTTCCCTTCTTTCCAGGAGGAAGTGACAGGCTGCTCTTCTTGAAACTCTATTTCTTCTAGAATGGAAACAGAAGGAAAATGAACTGAAATGAACTCTTTTCTCCTCTACCTACATTGGTGCTTCTTCTCCTCAGAAATACACTGTCCCACAAATGCCTACCTGGTTCCAGCCAGGTTTTCCAGACAGGGTCATGATTTTCCTTATTTTCCAGGAAGAGTTCCACACAGTTCTTTTCTCGGATGTAAATTTCTGTAAATGATTGCACCTGTGTGTGGCTCATATAGGAAAACTCCAGTTCCTGGCAAAGAGGCAGAATGCCATGTTACAGAGAAGGAACCTCAGCCAATGCTGCACAAGGAAACGATTTAAGGTAACTGTCCATCCATCCACAGGCTGTCCTTAGCGCACTGGGGCATTTTCATGAGTTTAATGAGCTCTGCAGCCTAAAGAAAATAACTTATGCAAGCACAAAGCAGTTAATTCTGTTCCCATCCTTGTAAAACCAGGTGTGGAAATAAAAATAAAAATAAAAAAATTAATTTAATTTAAATTTAAATACCATAAAAATTGGACCAGCCTTGGGTGTTGACCCATAGGTTATACTTCACTCCATACAAGTGTACACCTTATTAAATATATTTGCCTTAAATGTGGCCCAAGGAGCTTTGCTGTGCAAACTGCAAAAGACTAACACAGCAACCCTCTGGGAATTAGTTAGTAAATTATTTAGTTACTTAGGAGCAACTTCATTGAATCCCATCACAGATATGCACAATCCAGGTTATGTTGTCAACCTACAGTCGGGTCGACCAGCCAACCAATCACCACACACATATACACAAATCCCACAAACTCTGCATCAGCCTTTGGTAAGATCTGCACATCTGTGAGGAAAGAGACGGCAGGCTTACCAAAACCACCCACTGTAACAGCTTGCCTATTTCAGATCATGCTGCCACTAACCTCTGGGATAATCTTCAGGGATTCCTTGTGTTCCTTGTGCATACTGCCAGATACAACATAGCTGTAGCCATAGTACAACGGTTTCGTCTTAGCAGGCTTCCATATTGGTGAGGAACCATAGCCCTTCTCCATAGCTTCAACAGCCTGTTTGCAACGAAAGGGGCATTTCTGACCATGGTGGATGTAGGGGAAAATCCTACATGAGCCACACTGTTTTGCTTCTTTCTGCATCTAACCGTGAAATCAGGAAGCTTGGACCACCTCGAGCAGAGAGACACCGGCAGAAGGCTTTGATCCAGGAATTCTCCCTTCACCCTGTGCTTCAAAGCAGCACCCCCCATTCCAGTGGTCCCAGGGCATTCTGAAGCAGTGGCTCATCATGGTGTTGCTCTGCCCACATCTCACATTCTTTACCCAGGCACACATGGCAAGACTTGTTGCCGGGTATCTGAAGTTTTCCCACATGGCATACATACACAAACGCACTGCTATCAGTGGGTGCTGCTAACCTGACAACATTTGCCAGTCTTTGAGAACACGTCGGGAGCCGTTGGAAAGGAGATGTTTGTGGGAGAAATGGCCCTTTCTGCTTCCCTCATTTTAATATCTATTTGTTCTTAGCCCTGTTAGCTATGTGCAGGTGCAAAGGAATGAAAGTGGAGAAAAACTGGTATCTCCTTATGCTCCTATCCTCGCAGCCCCCACTGCAAGCAGCAGGACCCCCATTTCATCCACCTAAAAGCAAGCAAGTGGAGCCACGCATGCCCACGCGTGCCCTGTGCAGCCTTTCCCCCAGGTACCTATGCACAGGTGTGTAGGAGTGAAGGAGCAGGGATATTTTACAAAAAGTAAGAAATGTTGACAGTGCCTCTCCCTGCCCTCTCTACCAAAATCATGGAAAAGGAGGGAGGGTGCTGCTTGCTCCTGTTCTCCCAAGCCTGAGGAACTGGCACCTCCTTTCCCTCCCCTGTAAACCAAGCAAGCAGCGCTAGCTCCACTGGAGTCAATGTGATTTAGTTGTAGGGCTGTAAGGCCACTGAAGGTAACACGCTGTGCTGCTGAATGGACCTGCATTTCAGCTAGTTGTGCCTTGGGCAAGAGGACAAAAATGACAATCAGGAAGGCACAAAAAGACACCTCACACTTTTATTTTTAGAGGGGCATTTGGGTGAAGGGAGTGTTCTTGGATCAAAACTACAAGGAAATATTGGTAGCTGTCATTTTTAGGTGGCTACCAATATTCCCCTGTGTATGTCAAAGCTGTAGACAAATGGATATTGAAGTACGCTGCTGACTTATGAATTCTAGTTCTCAGGCTCCAAGAGCAACCTGGCCTAGCTCACAATCTCCCCACCCTACCCCTCACACTCATAGTAGATGCGAGCTCTTTCTGTGACCCCATCAGCTCAAGAGTTTTCACTTACATATTTCACAGAATTATCATTGGGAATCAGATAGAGCCGTAGCGTTACAATCGGCTTGAATGTCCGATACAACAGCACCAGAGAGTTGACAGAGAAACGAAATAACGCACAGATGAGAACGCCTATCAGAGAGAATGTTGGATTCTCCACGACAACATGAAATGTGTTCACTTGAGATGGTGTCTCAAGAAGCAGCCCCTCTTCAACCAAGTGGCCAACCTTCATCTGAGAGATGTCTACTTTTCCTCCTGTGAAAAGATTGTTAAAAAGCAATCAGTTTTTCAATTAGCTTAAAAAATGCATGTTAGTAAATCTCAAAAGAACAAATTTCCTGTGGTCTGGGAAAAGTAAGGTAGGCAAATGAGACAGGCGAAGACCTCCATTACAGCCAACTTCTCCACTTCCTCCTTCCCATGATAGCCCTTACAGTCCCCAGAAAGTCCTAAACAGGAAGACAGAAGACCATGCTACACAGAATGAGCTATGCTTTGGAGGAAAGGATCTTGCATATGCAAGGTCTGTCTCAGGATGGACTGATCCTGGATTCAACCCATTGTATGTGAGGTCTGGTCCAGTAGTGTTGGGAACAGACTGCGAAGTTATTTTTGATGTGCTTTCCAAGGTCAGGACTGTACTGACTCTTTGGATGAGAACAGTGATGGCTGGGAAATGGGAGTGCGGGAATCCTGAGAGCAGAGGAAGGTGTGGTTGTCTCAAGGCTGCTGCCCCCAGGTGCTCAGACAGACCCTGGAAACAGGCAGCATTTGAAAGAGTAGTGAGGGGACAAAGGAGGGGAGGAAGATGAGACTTTGCTGTGTCCAATCCCTGGCCCCATGACACAGCTTTGGGATAGAAGAGTTACCCAGTTAGAGGGCCTGCGTACATCTTGGAGGTTAGCCCTTCTGCACTACCTGGAGGAGTGCAGACCGGCATTACTACAGAGGAGGGTTTTTGGAAGTAGTTTCTAGTTTGGGTTCAACAATTCACTCTGTTCATGCTTAGAGACTAGTCTTCCATTGGCTGTAGCTTTCTAGCAATGAATTGGCATTAAAGAACATTTTTGCAAAGAGACAGTCTGTTGTTTTGGAAGCTTGAAGCAAGTAAGAGGAAACCCAACTCCTGACAGGTAGTAAGAGAAGAGGACAGTATGCAAACCATCAAGGCCCTGGGTTCTTAACCCCTTTTTATTCTGCAATTACGCTTTTCAGACTTACAAAGTAAGTGGCTGCAATCCTCTGTGTTAGTGTGCTAAGCAGACTGGTGGTGGCGATGCTAGTAATGATGCAAGTGACAGGGATGCCAGCCCTACGCGCACAGAGAAATCCCTGCTACTGCCTCTGACTTTAGTCAGGCTTGGCTCCCTTGGCCACTCCGATCCCGGCACTGGGGAAGTTGGTTTGCGCACAGCATGCTGCCCGCGCGGGATGACATGCACCATGTGAATCTGGCAGCTCAACCATAGTGGCAGGAGCTCCAAGCCCCTTGCTCCATGTTAAGAAGTGCCCTGAGAGTTTCAGCACAGAGAAAAGCAAAACGAGTGGGGGTGAGGCAGTGTTAGCACTGGGCCTGGCCATGCCCACTGACGTCAAGCAGCCTGTGGGGGGGCTGAGGGGGATAATTCAGCCCCTCACCCCTTGCTGAAGAAATAGAGGCCTAAGAAAGAAGGACTTCAAGGCCTGAGAAGAGAGAAGTTAAGGGAAGCGGCATCCGTAAGAAAGGATTGTTGGAAGGTGGAGAGATAAGCAGAAGAAAGCCCGAGGGCGGATTCCAAGAGGGAAAGAGAACAGAGGCATTCAGTCACGGACTATGGAGCAGAGAAACCCAAACTGCTGAAGAGGATGGGACTGAGAGCGTCAGGATCCCACCTTTTTGTCTGCTCTCCCCCTCAACACTGCTATACCTTCCAGGCATATAAAATGTGGCAGGTGGACAGCTGCAACCTCTTCTGCTGGATCGGCCTGAATATCGAACAGTGGGCCAGCCACCATCCATTTCTGCTTCTCAGCCCTGCTCAGGTGCTGATCCCAGGAGCCATACGCATAAGTGAGCGTCACTGCTCCTCTCACTTCAAACCTGAGTTCTGTTTCCGAGCAAAGGTAGGTTCCTGCCTCGGGGCAGCAGAGCCTGCATGTCACCGGAAAAGAAGGAGGAGGAAATGCCACCTTTAGTGTTTCAAATGTCAGTGTTTTATCTACAAATACAGCAGGGACAGAGACTGGATTTCTGCAGATTAAATGTACTGCTAGTAATCAAAATCCAGTTTACCCAACGTCTCTTGTCTGCATACCTGAGCAATGCCTATCTGAGCATCCCGAAGAGCTGTGTGTGATTTGTTCCAAGTAAGCCTTTTGCTTGGTCCATCAATACTGTTTAACAGTTTGGACTTCGGAACAGCATGTGGTAGGCTAAACTCCTGCTCCCTGAGCCTTGAGGGTGTCCTTCGAGGTCACAGAATCATCTTGCTCAGGCTGAGGTGGAGGTAAGGGGTGCTGGCAGACTTCTTACTGCTGGGAGAAAGAGCAATTGCCTTTCCACAGGGCAAGGCCAGAGTCAGCAAAGAGGTCTTCAGGACCTTCCTGAAAACCTGCAACGATGAGGTCTGGTGGACCCCCAACAAAAACCCATTTTAGAGAAGTGGAGCTTCTGTGGAAAAGGCCTTCAACTAAGCTGACCAAGTGAGAACGTCTTTGTCACTATCCGTGTGCTTTAAAAAAACCTGTGATGAAGCAGTGCTTATGAAAGGGCATGGACAAATCAGCCAGGCCAATGCTGTCTTGGCTAAACATAAGCTGGAAAACGAGACTGAGCAGATGAAATTTGGGCAGCAAAGTCCTGACAAACTGAGTGCCCAACAGTTCTGTGGCAACAACTGATAGAATCTGCTCATCAAACGATGGCAGGAACACATCAAGAAAACTGGCACAATGAATAGATTTTATGCCATTTAAACAAAAGATATGAGGTCACTCCTGCATGATCAAATCACAGTGCAGGCAGAGAAACTCCTAAATGCTGAGAGTTGCGCTTCCTGCCTGTAAGCAAAAGATGGAAGTGTGATACTTATTCAAGCTACCCCAGTGAAGGAACTGAATGGGCAGAAAGGAGGCATTGTGAATGGGAACTGTCCAGCAGATGGTTTCTTGATGTAAAACCTCCTTTCTGCCTTTTCAGTTTCTTCACCGATACCACCGGGGTATCTCCTGACCATTCTCAGCAAGGAATCACTTTGGAACTGGGTATCTGCATATCTTTTTAATTAATTAATAATTAATTAAACAGCACTGAATGTATTTGGACCTATCTCTGCATGGTTCACATCTAATCCGATTCACATCCTGCATTGCCTGATCCTGTTGAATTTCGTGCAACTTCAATCATTAGGATAATGTCAGGAGCCTCCCTTCCTTACCTGAGCAAGGGCTGATGAGTGGTCCCCTTTTTCACTGCCAGCTGTCACAAAGCAACTACTCTGCTAACTACACAGACCTCAAGCCCATGGCTGCTCGTGCAGAAGAGCCTTTTATAAAGCACGCATCACTGACAGTCTTTTATAAGCAACATGAAAAGGGTCTGCAGCCAATATAATTGGAAGAGAATGAGATGGGAATTCTGCTTTACTGGGATTATGCTTGGTGGCAAAAACAAAGTGAATGAAGACCTGTTCCATGGCAGTTACTCCAAATCCTCACCTGTACATCTTCAGCTTCCCATCCACATCTAGAATCAGTTCTGGTTGCACCTAGAAAAGGTATCGGTATAAGAAGCTCTATCAAGGTGGAACTTGTACAGTTATGTTTTGTGATCTGAAATCTCTACAGGTCTGAGGCAGAGTAGAATTCAGGAATCTCTGCCCACCATAAACACAATCATTTGCTCAGCCGCACATATGCAAGCAAGAGGCCTCCAGCTACTGCATTAACAAGGAGGGATACAACAGAGGGATGAGAAAAGAATGGGTGGTGGGCAAGAATGAAGCTCTGACATGTTAACCTTCCTCACTGGAATCTCACCATGAGCCATCTTTTTCAGGGGAAATTCCAAGTGGGGTACTCCAAGGGCGTTTGGATGCTTCCTCCAGTTTATGGAGCTTTAGTGGCAAATACAGGGGATCTCTTTCTCAGAGCTTCCACAGTGGGATCTCAAAGACAATGGTGAGCCGTTTTGCAATGGTAGGGTGAATTAAGCAAGCCTTAATTAATCTTTACATATGAAATAGGTACTGGCACACTTCTTGATCCTGCTGCTTATTTGGGTTTGATCACACAGGATCTACGTCTGTGTAAAATGTACCTTAAGTGATTCCAAACAGATGCTCTCCCCTCAGCCCAAGAGCAACAGTTCTTACCTTCTCTTTTTCATATAGGTAGCATTTCTCCTCTGTGAGAGGGATAGGAATCAAGCCCGCTTTGCTGTTTGTCCTTCCTACATCACAGAGAAATAAGTTAGAGAGACACTTCCTCTTAAAAGTCCAACAGAGAATGTCTCACTCTTCAGAAAGCTTGAATGCCAAATTTAGGTAGATTTTTCCATTATGCGGCAGCATCAGATCCACGGGTTCAATTTAGTTTCTCATTAACTGTGGGTGGGGGGGGGGGAGGCTGTTTCTCCAATCATCAGTGATCTGGCTGTCACGTAACATTAAGCACGAGAGTTTAATGACAACGGTGGTGCTAGCACGAAGGAAAGAACACATGTGGGCTGAGTACAGTGTTCCTTGCAATGGAACGGTGAAAAAATACAGCTGTTTTCCCTGAATTAAACATTTATAATTTTTTTAAAAACTCTGCACTTCATCTGAAAACCCACCAATGGGAGCACTAGGGCTAATCAACATCTGATCACCCTCCCCTAGTCCATTAAACTAGACCAAGTATGGATGTCATAGCACATTATAGCTTAGGTGCTAGAGAACCACTCAGCAAAGAGCTGGCAGAACACGAGTCCCGCCAAATAGCACAGAGGATAAGAGATAAGCACTTGGCTCACATATTTTTGAAGACACACAACTCAAGTCAAGAATACCTTGGCCCTAGCTTTGCTATGGGGACTGGCGATTTAGATTATTTTCTCTGTGACACTGAGGTTTTGGCATTTAAGCAGCTGAGTGTTGCATTCAAAGCCTTCATTAAAACTGGAAACAGTCACTCTGCAATCATTCTGCCCTTTTCCCCACGTCCACTTTCTTCTGATTCCTCCCACATCTCTGCTACAAACCCCAACATCTAATTCGCTGACCACAATACCACACTGAGCACACTTGATGGGGTTATTGTGCAAGTGAAGAAGTAATTGAGTACTCCAGATACAGCTGTCACTTTGGAGTCCACCAACTTTACCCTCGAGCTCCTTGATCAGGTCTTCGTTGGTTTCTCGCAGCACCTTATAGAGATGGTCCTTCCAGGTCCTTTTCCAGCCAGGGACTACCTCGTAGAGGGCCTCCATTTTTTGCTTGTCTGTGGCTTTCCGCAAAATATGACGACACAAGCAGTTGCTGATTGTATAGTGGAATTGTAATTGTACAACCATCTTTGCTTCAGTTACTTTTTCAATCAATTCCTCCTTGTGCCTCTCAACGAAATGTCCCTCTGAGGAAAGAAAGAAGAGAGAGGGCCAAACTATATATTCTGTTAACCATACATTCTGTCGCTATATATGTGATAGCTTGCTTGCTCTTGGATAATTGTGCACAGGTCCTAATTTGGATCAG